CCCCCCCCCACCCCCGGAAAAAAGGTATTCTGCTTCCATCTACGTATCTTCCAGCCCGTCAAAGTCACCCAAAATATACAGTTTTGGTCGTGGCTACACAGTTTTGGTCGTGGCTATCGTTTGGAGAGTGACTCTATCTCGGCTGGCCCGCGACCGGAATTTTAAAACCCATGAAGCGGTCGGGGTCTACCACACGCGCGAATAACTCGAAGAAACTGCGCACGAACGCAGACAGCGGTCCCGTAGAGAGCAAGGCTAGCGGGCCGGTATCTCGGGAGACACGGAAGAAGAAAGTCGTGGAAAAACCAGTTGTTTTAGAACAGCCAGTTGTTTTAGAGCAGTCAGTTGCTTTAGAACAGTCAGTTGCTTTAGAACAGTCAGTTGTTTTAGAACAGTCGGTATCTGTGGAGAAGAGTGACGATTCTTCGGACGGTTATTCTTCGACGGATGACGAGGGTTCGGAATCGGATTCATCCAGTGAAGGGAACGGTGAGGATATGGGAGCGGGCGAAGCAACGACGTTTGAAGAAATGAATTTGGACCATGTATTGCTGGATATATTGAAGAGGCGGGGTTGGTCGTCGCCTACGCCGATTCAGCAAGTGGCAATCCCGGCGGCGTTGTCAGGTCGCGATGTGATAGGGTTGGCGGTGACGGGGAGTGGTAAGACGGGTGCATTTGCAATTCCGATAATTAATGATATGATGAGGAAGCAAAAGACTAGTCGTATCCATCCTTTCTACGCCATTGTGATCTTGCCAACCAGAGAGCTATGTGTCCAGGTGGCTGAGCAGTTCCGTTTGTTGGGATCAATGTTGCAATTGAAGGTTTGTTGCTTGGTCGGCGGTATGAGTTCTATCGACCAGACGAAAGAGTTGGCGAGACAGCCCCACATATTGTGTGCTACTCCGGGTCGTTTGGTTGACCATTTGCAGAACACCAAGGGTTTTAGTCTGCAGTCAGTTCAATTTTTGGTCTTGGATGAGGCCGACCGTTTGCTGAGTTTGGACTTTGAGGAAGCTCTACATGAAATTGTGCGGAACTGTAACCCGAAACGGCAGACATTCCTTTTCAGCGCCACGATGACCAATAAGTTGAGCAAGTTGCAAAGGGCTTCGCTTAAACAACCTATTAAGGTACAAGTCGATGATCGCACCCAGACCGCATACAATCTTGTACAAAAGATTGTACTGGTACCCATTGACCAGAAGTTCCAGTACTTGACAGTCATGTTAAAGAAGTATAACGCCTACCGCTCTATTGTGTTTTGTAACACCTGCAAAATTGCCAACGTGCTCAACGTCTTTCTTCAACGACTCAATTTCAATACCGTCGCATTAACAGGTGACATGAACCAGACTCTGAGATTAAATGCGCTAGGCAGATTCAAGAACAAACAACTAAATGTCTTGATCACCACCGAAGTAGCCGCTCGAGGCATGGACATCCCAGACGTTCATTATGTATATAACTTTGACGTTCCGAAAACCCATAAGGATTACATACACCGAGTAGGACGGACAGCCCGAGCTGGTAAGCATGGTTCTAGCTTCACTTTCGTAACCAAGCTCGACGTTATTCAATACAAGCTAATTGAAGAGAAAATATTTGGAGAGAAAGAGCCGGACCAACTACCCCAAACCTACAATGACATGGACTTGGCAAAAGAGGTCAACCTACTCAACAAGGTCGTCAATATAAACGATGCCAAACTGACTGCCGAAAAGGAATACAATACTTTAACTAAAGCAAAGGCTATCAAGAAACGATCTCGACACGGTGGCCGTGATGGGGAGTGATCCAGTTTACACCACACACGATAGTCCTATAATAATTACACGTGATACTGCAATCTTTTTCGTCCGTCATCCAATTCTTCTTCATCCAATTTCACAGTTGTTTGCATCATTTGTTCAATCGCACTTGGGGCAGCGATAAAAAATTATGATTCGGGTAGAGGAAGTCGGTTCAGATGGATCTACTTTGGATGGACGGCCGTTGGGAGGAGGACAGTCTCCAAAAATCCTTCAGAAGAAGACGACGGTTACTGAAACCGTGCACACTACCACGACCTATCCTGAGTCGAAACAGAGCTTGCCCACGGTAACTACTCAAGCCCTGGTGACAGACACAGATCGCGACCGGAAGCTTGCCAACACTCGCGAGGAATACAAACTGTGTTATGTAAAAGTTACGAGCGGTAAGGACCGCACACTGTGCTACAATCGCACATTGTGCTACAATCGCACATTGTGCAACCGCACGCACACTGTGCTGCAATCGCACATTGTGCAACCGCACGCACACTGTGCTGCAATCGCACATTGTGCAACCGCACGCACACTGTGCACCATTGCAACCACGTGAATAACCGACCAAATTGACCAACGGTATGAGTCGCCAATGGTGTGAATGGTATGAATGACGAATTGTGTGGTAGATGGAATGGTAATTTGTGGCAACTGTGCGCATGGTATGAAAGTATTGAACAAGAGGGAATATGGTGAAGGGCACACCGTTATCCCTTCTGTGCCGAAGATAACGAGCGAAATTGAGGTGAGTAATTCGGGGCTTGAGTATCACAAACATAATACTGCCAAAAACGCTGAAGTCCACTTTCATAAACATATATTGATCTAAGAAGATCATACATAAGGAGACTATACATAAGGAGACTATACATAAGGCGATAATGACCTGGAAGAGGTCTGGACCAAATCTATGAGGTCTGGACCAAATGCCGGGTAGGATCTCAAATATTGAGCATTTCCTTTTTCAATTGATGGTCAAGGATTTATCGTGGGGGTAAAAAAAACTGGGCCGATAACAGGATTGGTTGTGACTATGTGAGGTGGTTGTGAATTGTAGGGGAATTGTGCTGGGAACTTCAACGGAATATTTCTTTGATCTATCGGATGATTTCGATCTATCGGATGATTTCGATCTATCGGATGATTTCGATCTATCGGAGGATTTCGATGTATCGGAGGATTTCGATATGCCTGTACTAAGCTTCCAGCGTTGTAGCCCTGCACAGTTCCACCATCTCCGACAAAGCCGCGTTCCTCCGGCAGCTTCCTCTGATTATAGCTTTTTTCAACGCAGTCACCACCAGCCGTGCTGAAAACGGTATTCGGAATGACATAGTCATGCTCAGGCGGCCCGTAGTCTCCAGGATACGGCTGGTGATACTGATACTCCACACGTGAAGCGGTCAGAGGAGGCGGGTCATATATTGCACTTTGTGTGCTACTCGACCAGGCAGCGGAAGACAAGGGAATGAGTCTCCAATTAAACGAACTACAAAAGGTCCCGTACTAATAATTGTGGCAAGTAACTGGCACGAAATAGGCATAATGGTGGGACGGTGTATGTGTGGCATAATGGTGGTGGGACGGTGTGTGTGTGGTAGACAGCGTTACTTATTTTGTGATGGGGCTGTATTTCCCGGAAGTCTTGCTTTGGAGATCCTGGCGGGGAAGGAGACTGGCATTTCCCTGACTCTAAGTGCGGGATGTACGGTGAGCGGAATCTCAGTGGTGAGGTCATCGCTCGATTTTTTGGAGGAGGCAGCTTCGGACCGTGTGGGTACGGACCAGTGTGCGGAAGCGTCATTGCGTTCGCGGGGCGTGAGGGGAAGGTGCGCGGGGTGGAGGGTCGGGTGATCGAGCATCCATTTGACTTTGCGCCCGCGTCGGTTGTCTTTTCGTCTGGGTCCAGCTAGATCTTCGCAGGGTACGAGCAACGAGTTCCGGAATGTGTTCCTGAGTAGAAGTTCGTCGCTGGAGCAGTCGGGACTGGCGGCCCACTCGCAGCTGAGCGTCACCCGGGTATTGAGCAGACGCTCAAGAAGAAGCAGCTGGATAATAAAGGACTTCCGCAGGTCTAGATCCGGTCTCCGGGAAAGCACAAACTCCAACGCCTTCTGTGCCGTCCATCGATATCGTGCCATCAGAAAAATACAGACTGCCATTACACCACGGCAGCGCCCGAATCGCGAGTGAATAAGACAGGAAACACCCAGTCGATCAGCGGCGTCTATGAACCTAATTAGTTTTAGTAGACGCGGACACAGACAGTCTTCGTAGATCCTAAAACCGCTGTCGCCTTCTAGGCCATCCACGGCTACCAGGTCACCATCCACGGTTACCATAGCCTCTGAGCCAAGAACACTTTCTTCTGGTGCGCTTTCTTCGTCGAGCACGAGGGCTGTTTCCCGTTTCGGCTTAGGCAAGACATTGCTTCCCATGGGTGCCCGTGGTCCGGTCAAATGAGGGCCGGTCAACCGCCGTTCCACCTTAGCTGCCTGTCGTGGCGGGTGCGTGCCTCGCGTCAAAGCTGGAGAGCCGGAGTCCGCCAACGCCAGCGGCGGTTCGTTCTTCTTCTTCCGTCGCCGCACACGTGTGTCCCCGCCCCCCTCATCGCCCAGTCTCCCCTCCGGACCCTCCTCTCGATCCGCATTCCGATTTGAAGCCAAATCGGGATCAATATTCCTGTCTGGACCGGGGGTCCGGTCTGCCTCGGGGGTCCGGTCTGCCTCGGGGGTCCGATCAGAGGCCAAGTCCCGACCACCACGATTCCCAGCGCGGGAGCTGTGTCTTCGGGTGAGTAGAAGGCTCGTAGAAGAGGATGCTTTCTTTCTCTTTTTCCTTGAAAGCTCTTGAACTATGGTACAGTCGGCATCTTCAGGCCAATTCAGCTGAATCACACGCAACCGCTGAACACCACCGTATTCAAATGTATCTTGTTGGGTACAGTTCACAACAAACTGGATCCCATTAGAACTCAGAAAGTCCGCATCCCATGCAGATAACGAATCACCCAGGAATAAACCATCCTTTATTCTCACTGCTCCCACAAATTCCATACTTTTATTTTTTAGAAAATCGCCATCGAAGATAACCCAAATGATCTACATTCACAACACAGGGACATATCTCACATACCAACATCCTACCACCCAACGGGCACGCCGTCAAACTAGTCCGACCACATAACGGACAACAACATACAACCGGTCCGCCCTTCACAGATGAGATGCTCTCTGATATCGACGAGCCGCCGTCTTCCACAACTGAGCCTGAACCCCCATGTTCAGCACCCGCGGTCACAACCGCGGTCACAACCGCGGTCGCACCACCAAATAATGCCTCTTGCCAGTCCTTGTCCGGGAAAAAGACGGGACCGGGCTCGATCTCCATTGCCCGCAATAACTCGAGGGTGTCCTCTATTGGAGACCCCGAGGATCTCACCACCCACTCCGCCTTCACAACCAGCGGCACTTCCGCTCCCCCAATCTTCACCGCCACTTTCGGTCGGCCCGGCACCTGGCTGGGACCCATGCCGGTCATTTGGTTGAGAGCCGGGTGCTCTCGAGCCGGGTGCTCTCGAGCCGGGTCCTCTCGAGCCAGGTGATCTCGAGCCGGGTCCTCTCGAGCCAGGTGATCTCGAGCCAGGGAGTCGGTCGTCTTTTCTGCAGTTCTCTTGTCCGCGGTTATCTGGTCAATGGCGAGCCAGACAACGGCTGTGGACTTTTTGGCGTTCTCGCTGCTTTCCTTCGGATGGACGGTCACTAGTACGCGCTCTTCAATGTCCGGTGGCAAGGGGCTGTCTGAAGAGAGGTGGTAGCAGTTCAAGCCGCATAGTCTCAAGTAACCCGCGATGGCAAGGTGTGTAGTGGCCATCTTGACCACAACCTTCGCTGCCTCCTTCGCAGTTGGTGTTGGCGCCGTCTGCAGAGCGAAAAACTTTTCACGCACCGCGAGGTAGACCTGCCACGTGTGTTCCTCGTCGAGCTTGAAATGCGAGTGGCGTCGGGATTTGCGGGAAACGGTGCTCTCCTCGACCGCGGCGTCGGCGGCGGGACTGACCGCCAAACTGCTGGGCGTCAAGACGGCGCCGACGGGAGACTCGGCGCCGACCTCGGACGCGGAAATGCTCGTGCCCGTCCGGCTTATCGTGCTCGTCCCCGTGTCAGTCAGAATCCCAGTTGGCAGGGCACCCGTGGGGAGAGAGGCGGTGGGTTTGTCGGAGGTGGCAGGGGCGGTGCGCGAGGGGGGTCGGTCGAGGGAGCAGTTGAGTATTTTGGCGAGGCGTCGGAGCGAGCCGCCGCTCTGGAGTCGTTGGTCGAGGTGTTGGAGGATGAGGAGGACAATCAAGACGTCGGAGGCAGCGTACCAGGTCTCCCGGTTTGGCAGCGGACGGCGGTCCCAGTTGCTGAAGGCAATCGACTTGGTGAGTGCGGCAGGTTTACCGAGAGCGTCCATGGTGACGTAATTGAAGCACTTCTCCAGGCCGACATTCTTCTTGAAAGGCGGGCTGCTTCCCCGTAAGTCATCGTAAGCCTTCACCAGACGCGATAGTTCCCAGTACCCCACGTCCCTCAACACAATGCCATTATGTTTGAGCATTTGAACGTCGCTGCGCATAAAGTCAACGCCGCACATTACTGAACCAGACAGGAAACCCACCAGGTCGGGCACCCACTGATTCTGGTCGTAGGCTCTCAGCGCTACCAAGTCCACGATTAACACAACCATGTTCTTCTCGTCAAAGTCGCTCCCTGCTCGGGTTGGGTCGCTCCCTGCTCGGGTTGGGTCGCTCCCTGCTCGGGTTGGGTCGTTCCCTGCTCCCGCCGGGTCACTCCCTACCCTCACGGGGTCATTCCCCAGCGGTGGGCCGGCGAAGTAGGCTAGCTGCAGCAAGCTGGCACACGCGGCGCCTCTAGGCCGCCATTCCGCGTCCACTGAGATTAGTTCTGGCCGCCGTGCTTCTTGGATATGTCGTCTGAGGTCGTCTGGCTCCTCGACAAAGTGAATGATGTCCCAAATGTGTCGCGTGGGATTAAACAGTCGGTACATCTCCAGCACGCTCTCGGGAACATCCTGGAACTGAAGCTGCGGCCATTGATGTGACTCAAGAGTGCCCTCATTCAGTCTGCCGGACCCTCTCGTGTGTCCACCGTTATTAGCTTCCTTGGTGGCGGCATTATTGGCGGCATTATTGGCGGCATTATTGGCGGCATTATTGGCGGCATTATTGGCGGCATTATTGGCGGTCGTTGTAGCGACCACGGTTTGGTACAGTTGTTTAAGTTGTTTGAATGTGTGTCGGTTGTAGAGTCTGGGAGTATATTCAATTCTTTTAGTGGTGGGTGGACGGAGTCTCTTTCTCGTTTCTGGGTCCATGTATTCATAGTATAACTCAGTCTTAATTTCCATAGTCTCGTTAGTAGCGTATAGCCCTTTGCTGGAGTCGCCAACCCAGTTGTAATAGACCTGGAGGTCGAAAGGGTCTGCGGAGAAGATTTCCGCAAGCGTATGTTCATCCAACTTCTCGCGAAAGCGTAGAAAGGTTGCGAAACCCTGGATCTGAGCAGCTTCCAGAACGGGTACATGCTTGATGTTCTTGAGTTTAGCCAGGGCCTTGATGATAGAATAGCATGCCTTATTTGTCTCCACAAGTGGCAGACAGTAGTCCCAGACGTCGATAAAACGGAGACGTTTATTCTTCACTCCCACTACTATCATGGATTCCACGGACGTAAAAGAAGGAGAAATCGCATTAAACCACACCTGCGAGTCCTTCCACTTCAACGGGTACGCACGCATCACAGAATCCCGAGCCAAACTCCAACACCACGCGTCCGTTTCCATCTCTTCCTCCACCGTGTGTGGTAACTCCAACAACACACATCTATAGAGATCCAAATAACGCAAACTCTGAACCGCCGGCGACGAACGCTTCAAAATAACGCACTCTCCACGCACTGTCGTGCCCTCCAAACACGCACGAATCTTCTCGATCTCCACCAACGCCCCTTCGAAATTTATGCTTCCCATCACAGGGGTAAAAACTATACTATTTTACCGCGAATTAAAACCCCCCAAAACATTTATCAGACACATCAACCGATGTGGTTGAAACCCCCCAGCCACAACTCTCCAGCAATGTGAACGTCTTGTGACGATCTGGCAGAACTGGTGCTAAGCCTCCATGGGCCGGGTGCTAAGCCTGCATGGGCCGGGTACTGGGCCTGTATGGGCCAGGTGCTAGGTTTTTGTGTGCCGGTATATGTATGACCCGAGTTCACTTGAAGCGCAGTTCATGGGCGATAAGTTGAGCCTTCAGGCGGGCCCCAAATGCATAGTGCCCGGTGGCACCGTTCGACTTGATAACGCGATGACAGGGTATAAACAGCGGGACCTTGTTTGTGCCGCAGGCCGTGGCCACCGCTCGCACCCCCTTAGGGCTGCCGCATTTCTCAGCCAGTCTCTGGTACGATATGGTGCACCCGAAAGGGATGCTCGCGATGCACCTCCACACACGTTTTCTGAAACCAGAGGCCTTCGGCAAACGCGTTGCCAGCCTACCCAAAGAGTCACGTCCACCGAAGTAGTCTTTTACCGCTTGCAACAGAGTGCCGCAATCACCACAGGGATCATACTCACTCCGACCACAGTCACTCCGACCACAGTCACTCCGACCACAGTCACTCCGACCAAAGTCACTTCCACCATACCCACCCACACTGTGGTCGAGGTCGCTGTGGTCTAAGTCTTGGCTGCGGTCTGTGCCGTTCCTGTCACCTCCTGGTTCAGGCTCGGTAAAGCCTGACTCCACTACCCTTCCTTGCTGGTCCACAAGAAAATAGAACCGTCTCTTGAAGACAGTACCAACCTCGAGTCTACAGTGGTGTGCTGCCTCCATGTCCCCCTCTAAATTCCGACTCAGCCCGAACTGCGACCATTAGATTTGGATTAATTAGATCGACCCCGCACAGGCCAAAAACACCTCTTTGCACGCCTCTTCAATTAGTTATTAATGACCACGGCTTTCGGGGCCCTCCTGTCAAGTTTTGCGACTACTGCGGTCTCAGAATGCGGTGACCGTACATTCATCGCAAGCACAGTGCTTGCCCTCAAGTACGCGCCCCAACAACATGTTCCCCCCGAGAGAGATGTTCACATGAAGATGTTCACACGGCCACCGGTCTGTCCGTACAAGTGTCGTCGTAGGTACAATCGTGTGATCGTATTCTGGGGAACGTTCTGTGCTCTCGGAGTGCAGTCTCTTACCTCAAGTCTCGTAGGCGAATTGATCCAAAGGTTCTCGCCACACAGCGGAAACATTCCCTGGGCCGTGGTCTTCAGTTTTGTGGTATTTGCCGTCTTTTCGGTCCGTTATCTTTACGAGGGCATACAAGGCATACGTAATTTGAAAGGACAAACTCCTCAGCTTCTTAGTCAGACTCTATTAAGGTAAAGCCCTTTGTTCACACCCTTTTGTTCTTCCCCCACACACGTGTGTTCACACCGTCCGCCCACACACGTGTGTTCACACCGTCCGCCCACCCACCCACCTTTGTTCACGTGTTTTGATCCGCATGCACACGTTGGTTCATAAACGTTTGTTCACTGTTAGCCATAGTGAGGATCCTTCTGAGGAGACAGTGGTCAGCAGTCGTTCACAGCAGCATAGCAAAGCGTCTCTCTTTTGGGAGGTGTTCGGCCTGATTTACGTCACCGAGGTCGGCGACACCTCCATGATTGCCCAAGCGGCCCTGGCGTCATACTCCGCTTTCCTGCCGGTATTCCTCGGTGCCTGTCTGGCCAATGCATGTGTCAACGGGGTCGGCATCTATTTTGGGGGTTGTGTGGCACACAAGGTCAACGTCCAGGTCGTCAACATCACAGCCGGCCTCCTCTTCGCTCTCTTTGCTCTCCTTGCCCTTCGAAAATTAGAGCCCTCAGTCTTTATGAAAAATTTATCAACCGACGTCTTCAATCGCTGACGCTTCCGTGACTGCTGCTGGAGGTTAATTGTTGTTGCTACTTATCGTCGCTCGTGGTGGTTACCTCCGCGCCGTTGTCGGTGACAACCTGTGGACTCGACACGTCACCAGCCAGCTGCTTGTCCACAACAGCACCATCATCGCCGTTGGTCTTGGTCTCGCCCCTATTGGTCTTGGTCTCACCCTCGTTACTCTTAGTCTCACCCTCGTTGCTCTTAGTCTCACCCTCGTTGCTCTTGGTCTCACCGCCATTGGTCTCAGCATTAACGCCGTTGGTCTCACCGTTGGTCTCACCGCCAGTGTTCTTTTGGTCCCCCGGCTGCTCCGATGCGGCCGCCGGCGTCACTGTGGGCTGTTCTCCAGCGGTCGTGTTGAGTTCTTTCTCCGACACGGGTTTTGTCTCCGACACGGGTTTTGTCTCCGACACGGGTTTTGTCTCCAACACGGGTTTTGGCTCTTCCTTGTTTTCGCGAATCGTAGCCTCGGTCTCACGCCCGCCAGCAGCCGCCGCTTGGAGGTTTCTGGTGGCATGTTTTTCGGTAGCTTTCTGGGCCCCCTGGGCGATCTGCTCAGGTACGACAAAGAGGGGTATATCAAGGTAGGTTTTCATGGTATTCATCGAGTTGTAGGCGTAGGCTAGGGCCATGGCAACGGTGTAGATGGCGAGAAGCCAGAGGACGGTGGCCTCTACGTATCCGGTTCCGAATGCCTTGCAGACGGCGAGTAGGGAAGTTGAGTAGAAGGGTATGGTTGCGAGATCGATCATTTGGAATTCCATTTTTAAGAGGCTGGCGACCATCATTCTCCAAACAACTTGGGCGCCGGAGAAGCAAATGATGGTGACCACGGGGAAGGGGTGTCGGTGAATGGTGTTGGAGAGGCAGAGAGCGAGTTGGCAGTAGAGGTGGAAGCCGAGAGCTAGCCAGTCTCTCTTGATTTGTTCTGAAGTGATGGCAGGATGGCCGAGATCATTTTTCTTCGAGGCCATGTCCGCGTCTATGGAAGCTCCGGGACCGGCGGTGACTTCCTTGTACAGACTCTTGACCTCGACGGAGTTGATATAGCCCATGCAGAATGCGCAAGGGTAGAACACAAGGATGTTAACTGGCTGGTTTAAAGTAAGCCAACCTAGGGATCTCCAGCCAGTAATATCAACCAAGGTAGAACGCCACAGACCGGGGAAAAGAAATGAGATCAAATTAAGGATAATCACAGTCCACTGGCCCTCTGTAACACCCATCTGCCAGCGACCGCTACTGCTGCCGGTAGAGGTCTTGAATACACCATGCCGGTATTCGTACCAGCCGTAGTCAAACAATTGGAAAGAAATCATACTCAAAATTAGACCTGTATTAGATCCAAGACCCAGTTGAATGGCGCTACAAATTATGAACGCGGAGTAGAAGGTTGTCAGCGCATCACACCCATGGTCCATCATCTGACCCAGTGCACTTGACAAGCCAGTACGACGAGCCTGCTTGCCGTCCACCGCATCTAAAGACTGGTAGGCAAAGTAAGCCAAAGCCGTCAACAAATAAATGATGCGAGGGCATGGACGGTCGGCCTCTGGAGCAAACAATTGCTGGGGCCAGTAGGCCACCACAAAGGAGAAGAACAAAGCTATAACCGTTAACGTATTCGGGTGAATGTTCTAAAATAACCACATGCCAGGGTGGGGTGGGGTATCCGGGGGCAGGCTGGAGTATCCAGGGGTGGGGTATCCGGGGGTGGGGTGTAAGGGCATACCAAGGGTATATGTTCGCTCAAAGGCTGCCACCAGTAGTCATTCAGTAAACAGTCTAGCGGCGTAGACTGCGGGCTGACATACTTATATTTGTTGATGTGATGGAGGTTGGGTGTCAAGTCCTGGAAGAGTCGGGGGAGCATATTTTATATTAAATGAGTAGTGAAGACGACTGGAGCTTTTTAGATGAGTGGCAGTACCACTGCGGCTTAAATGATAACGTCAAAACACTGGAGCAATTCGTAAAGTTTGTAAAGGACGGTAAGTTACCAGCAGGATTCGAGTCCGAGTTGGTGAACGACAGAAACCCGTACTCCGTAAATGACCTAGTAATGCCCAAGGGCCAGGAACAGGTCACCGCGCTACATTGCGCATGCGCGGCTGGATGCTTGGACAACGCAAAGTATTTGAAAGACGAATTGCACGCGACTGTCGCTACAAACGCAAGCGGAAACACCCCCCTACATTGGGCTGCCCAGAACGGGCACGCCGACGTAACCCAATGGCTCTTACAAGCATATCCGTAAGCCGACATGCATTCCGTAGTCATAAAACCCCAAGCACACGTGTGTGCGCCGCGCGCGCTCTTAAAAAAGCGCTTTTAGAGAGTTGGATGTTCTACAACGAAATAATTTCGGACGGTCAGCCCTTGCTCTCGCCTTCGAGTCACAAAACGAAGAGTGCGTTCAGGCTGTGTTGAATCATGACAGTGCAGCTGAATTGGTTCCCGACGACGAGCGAGATGACGACAAGATGGAAATGGAGGAATTTCGGAAAGAAGCGCAATGACACGCGCGCCCCGACAAACATTCGTTTGCATGATGGCTGTAATGATCCCGAAATACTCCCTGGGAAACAAGACTCATCTCGCATGTGGCGCACCAGCCACGACTTCTGCCTCCACCGCGGTTCGGCATGCTAACCAATGGCATCCTTTTGGTGGCCTGATATACTGGCAGTCTGTATAAGTCACTATGGCAAATCGTTATATTTCCAGCTCCTGGAGCAGATCATCCTCGAGCTTTTCGATGTCCACGGGTCTCTTGACGGTGCTTCTGGAGAGAACGGCTTCGATCAATTCGTTTTCATCTGTTCGATGCTTGACCAGCCACTCAGTGTCGTCCATAACGCAGCAAATGCCGGATGTCCGTTGACGTTTGCCGCATTCGGTACTAGTTGGTTGCTCCAGGACACAGGCGTCCCAAAAGACCCGAAGCTCCCTAGCATTATTTGGAGAGAATACTTCGTCATCCGGCGCGCTGCAGTACGGTGGTGAGAGAGAGGGTGAATTCTTACATCAAGGTAGACGCCGCGAATTCCAGCCAGTCTTGAGTGACGGTGGGCAATTGAATATGAGGCGGAACAACATCTAGGCGGTCTGCAAAAATTCAGAGTTGGTTCCCGATCCGTGGACAACTTACTTAGGAGGATGTGAGTGGGGGTCCGAATTTCGTCATTGTGGATAACCTCAGCGCCCAGAAATTTGAATGTTGTGGCGGACTGAGTCTTGGACCAACCATGAGGAGGGTCGCCGTAAAACGGCCTTGTCGACTGGAGCACCTTCAGTTTAATCACGTCGAGAATGTCCTTCAACGACGGAATAGTTAGTTCCGTTTCGTACCCCTGTGCGTCCAGAGCTGCGAAATAGATTTTGTGGGCCAGTTTCAGAATCCGCCGGAGACAATAGAGCTGGAGGTCGCTGTCCTTGAAGGACCTGGGAAGATTCTCGCCGCAGCGTGCTTCGATATTTTGCTCTCGCCAGAGTTGGGGCAGCCGTTCAAATGGCGGAGCCCAAGTGAACGGTTGGAGCTGGAGCGCGGAGCCCCGGTATTCGTCTTGGTATTGAGTTGGGGCGGCTTTGCGGCCGGCCAGTGAGTCTGGGAAAAAGGGGTTGTGTATTCGCGGTGTCCGTTCTTCGAGGGGAGGTGTTAGTGGACTGGTGCCGTCGCTGAGAGGCTTGAGGCCGCTGAGAGTGGTTTCTTGTTCCTTGATCGTGTCCTGTGTCGCGTCTTGACTTGTGTCCTGAGCTGTTTGGTATTTGCCGGCTTTCTTGAGGGCATTCAGTATTCGGAGTGGGCCGTATTGGCAGAGGGCCCTTCGGAAAGCGGAGACTTTGAGGTCGAGTGAGTAGGGGTTGAGAGGCGTGGTGAAGTGGTCCAGAGGACTGGCGAACCAGACGTAAGGGTAGCAGACGAAGAGTCCTACGTCGTCGTCCCATGCGGCGGGTGTGTCGTCTACGACGAGGATGGCATGATGGTCACTAGGTAGAACGCGGCTGAGGTTCTTGGTACCCCGCATAGAGACTGCATCTCTGCTGAACACGTGGTCATGAGGGAACCAGCGACGGTCGGGGTCGAGGAGCGAGAGAGCGCAGTTTGCGTGTTCGCGGATCCCCGCGGTATAGATATACATTTCAAAGTACTTGGCCATCTCCCGCAGAAAGGGGACAACACCGGGCCGAAGTTTGAAATGACTGGCTACGGATGCAGAGGCGCTGACCGCGGTCTCCAAATAAAACACGGCCGACTCAAGGAGGCGCAATTTGTACTTGGTGGCGGGGTTTTGTTCTCCGTCTTCCACGTACTGGCAAAAGGTTGTCTCCGCATCCGGCAACTGCACCTCCAAGTCGCCTTTCAGCTGCCGGCCATCGATTAACACTTGGCGCTCCGGAGCGAGGCAGCCGCTGGTGTCACAGACCGGACAGTAGATTCGCTTCCTCCGTCCGTTGTCTGCCGGCAGTGAACCTCGCTCCTCTGAAGCTCGTTCGTCTGAACCTCGCTCCTCTGAAGCTCGTTCGTCTGAACCTCGCTCCTCTGAAGCTCGTTCGTCTGAACCTCGCTCCTCTGAAGCTCGTTCGTCTGAACCTCGCTCCATCTCGGTGGCGGGCATCCGCGGGCCGCGTGCGGTTTCAGTTGCTTTGCACGAGCATAGCTGGTGCAGTTTCAGTTCTTCCGATTGAAAGGTATTAATCTGGTTGTCTCTTAGTAGTTCAACGTGTGGCGGTGTTTGCTCTGCGTGTATGAGGGTATGGTCGAGATCTAGAACAAGGATCAGTTTTTTGGTTGAGTACAATTCTTGGATTTTCGGCTGTGATAACGTCTCGGCATATTCTTTTGATATTTGTATTCTATCATCAATTGCAGTTGTAGCTTTCGGTCCTTCCACAATTTCTCCACAGGACGCGCATAACCTGTTGAGAACTACGTTATGAACACACGGGTTTTTAGCCGTCACATCTAACAACGGCCTTCCACAATCTCGAGCAGGATCCAAAATACTCTGACTATCATAATGAACCAAACTTATCCAACCTTTCTCCGTACTATATATCACCATTTCATCTAGCATGTAAACTGTACGTGTGCTATATATGTCAGTGCGATATTGTATGGCTCTATGTGTCTGCGGGTGTCTGCGGGTGTGTGCGGGTGTTACATATACGTGTATTGGTAGCTTTGGATAGGTGCAGGGAGAGTGAGCCTGTACCTAGGTGGGGGCCATTGGACATGAGTATCTTTCCAATTCGCTGGCCATTGGTGACAGGCTTGCCTTTAGCAACGGACTTATCAAGTGTTAGAACAAAAGCAGTGTATTGCAAAGGCAAAGAAAACGGCAAACTGACGGATTTCATGCGTTGAATAAAAAAGCCCTGGCTTTGGCGGAGGCCGTTGACCGGGTAGACCAAGTCGCGACAGACCAGGTTTCAGCAGACCAGGTCAGTCATTGCTGGCCGCCGATCTTGAGTACAGCTTGTACGTCCCTCTTGACGGAAGCTGCTTCTTCATCGGCGTTGAAGGTATTGAGAATGTGTTGTTCGCCGTAGTAATCCAAAAGAGGGGCGGTTTGTTCGTAGAAGGTTTTGAGTCGGGTTACCAGGCTTTGTTCGTTATCGTCAGGGCGTTGCATGAGGTCTTCCCCCGTGACATCATCCTTTCCTTCTACTTTGGGTGGCTTGTTTACGACATGGTAAGTACGTCCTGAGGCTTTGTGGATTCGTCGTCCGCAGATTCTGAACTTTAGAGTGTCTTCGGAGGCCTTGAAGTACAAAACTGCGGTAATTCGCGAATTCTTCTCGGCCAAGAGGGCATCCAAAGAACGGGCCTGTTCCAAGGTCCTCGGATATCCGTCTAGCAAGTACCCCGGAGCTTTCGGATTCCTTGCCATTTTCCCGGCAACAATATCAAGGACGGTTTGGTCATCAACCAGCTCACCACGCGTCAAAATGCCCTCCACCTTCTTACCCAACTCAGACCCAGAGGCAATCTCCTCCCTCAGTGCATCACCCGTTGAAATATGGCACAGTCCCATTTCGGCCTTCAACCACTCCGAATGGGTACCCTTGCCGCAGCCCGGGGCGCCAAACAACAGAATATTCAACTTGCCCTCGCCCACTCGAGATGCTCGACTACGAAGCTCCGCCAACAGCTTGTATGTCTCCACCTACAAACGAATGCACGTCCCTCCCGCACGCCCCCATCAGAGTGTAACTTTCATAAAGAGACAGTGTTCACCCGGCGAAGCACTGGGAACGGAACAAGCAATCCGGAAGCGCCTGCAAAGAACTGGTGAGAACATACCTTCTCGAACATTATTTTTGGTCGATAAATTTCAGCCGGATTCGATCTTGTTGCGTTCTACGTGGCGCCCTAATATTTTATGGCCAACGAGAAGCTCGTCTGGCAAAGCTCCAAATGCGACTTGCAATAAAAGGAGTTTTGTGACATGCATGTTCTCACACGCTCTGTGGCTGTGTGTACATCTGGTACATCTTCCATGACCCTTGACAAACAAGGTCATCGCCAGCTGGCAGCCTAGCGAAGGCTAGGTAGATGGTGAGGCCATGACTTATGTCGACCTGGCAATCTACGCCTTTGTCGGGAATGTCATTGATCGATCCCAGGGAGAGATCGACATGACGCAGTACAAGAACTTATACAAGACTTTGAAGCAGTTCTTGCTGATTCTCGTACAAAGGGATACTGCAACAAGCATTTTGTTGTCTAGAGTTTTTAACCACACCATTTTCGTTGGGGGTTCGTCGCGATCATAGTGGAACATCGAGCTTGTTAGTGAGCCAGCGACAGGTCTGATGGAACAAGCCTATTTTCTGGTGTTACCGAATTTTGAAAAAGCACTTTTAGATTGTGAACGAGAATGTCGAACCCTACCCTGTATTAATTTGACGTTGGTGGATTGGCTGAACCAGCTCGGCTCGCATTCCATATCGGAGGCATACCTTTCACGGACGTCCGATTCAAGTCCGAAGAGTGGGCTGAGGAATACAAGTCGAAGGCACCAAGTGGCAAGGCTCCCTGGCTGCAGTTTGACGATGGCAGCTATTTGACTGAAAGCAGGGCCATTCTCCTGTACGCTGCATCGAAGTCGGGCTTGGTTCCTACTGACTTCACGGACCTAGCGGTTTGCGAGCAAGCCTACAGTGTGGTGTTCGATGCGTATCCGTATCTGGGAAATATTGCGTTCAACAGAGGAGACAAAGAGGAGAATTTGAAGAATGCAAATGAGCGCCTTGCAGCCGCAGACAAGGTCATAGCCAGCCGGCAGTCGAGCGAAGGCTGGGTAGATGGTAAGGCCATGACTTATGTCGACCTGGCAATCTATGCCTTCGTCAAGAATGTCGTTGATCGATCTCAGGGACATATCGACATGACGCAGTACAAGAGCTTATACAAGACTTACGAAGCGGTTCTTGCTGATTCTCGTATCAAGGAATACTACAACAAGGAATGAGCACCGACCGCATATAATTTTTAACCACAGATACACTGACTTCACCACTCCCGTTGAGGTTGGGGTTTCGGAACACTCGTATCCGACAAGGCCCGTAAGCCCACAGCTGGGACGCGTAGACTGTGTGAATGTTACGGGACTGTGGTGACTGGCCAGCATCAGTGTTGGGTTGCGGTTGAGAGACAATGCGATGGTTGCTCCAACGACGTAAAGCCCGCCCACAAGAAACAACCAACTCGAATCGTCGAAGCTCTCGCATCTGGCTTTCACCGGAACGAACAAACCTGTTCGGCAAATCCGACCAATATGAACAGGGTGAGTCCACAGGTTGTTTTGGTTGTTGAGTCCAAGGCACTTTAGTCCAAGGCAGTAGTCCAAGGCACTTTAGTCCAAGGCAGTAGTCCAACGGTAAAAAAAATCATTGCAACGTTGCTGATTCCGCAGTCTGTGTCCACGCTTGTAGCGTGTAGTGAGTGCCGCAACAGCGTTCCCATAAGTCGTCCAGTTTGGTCAGCCACTCTGCGTAGGTACGGCAACCTTTGCCCGATAGTCCTTCGACAATTTCTTCACCAGAAACGATACCGAATGTCCATTGGGGATTGCAGCAGCCCTTGAAACAGAGACCGGAAGCCAAGAGCGTGTTCTTCGCGACCACGCACCCGTCACTCGCCAGCTGTCGCAACACCTCACCTGAGGTGGCGACCGCTGCGGCTTCTGTCACCCTATCTTCCACCGACGGCATCGCTTCCACAGACATCGCTTCCGCCGACGGCATAGCTTCCATAGGCATCGCTTCCACGGGCATCGCCTCCACAGGCATCGCTTCCGCAGGCATCGCTTCGACTCCCTCCCACGGTGCCTCCCACGGTGCTTCCCATTTCGACGACTTCTTTGTTGGGCGTAACATCTTGGCAACGGTCGGGGACAGCAGTACCGCGACGGCCTGCACATCGTTCTCTTCGTACATCGCAGGCAGCCAGATCTCGCTGGTGTGTGCAAGTACCGGCACACGTTGGGAGGTACATGCCTTGTCTAACTTACTCACCGTCTCCAACGCAATGGCCAACGCGGCTCTCCGGGAAATCCTCGTCTTCTTCGTAAACGTAGCCAAGTCACAAAAACGCACTTTCGGGTTCCAAGGCGCCGTCTCCAGAGGCATCGCCAACTTCGTCATCGACGCCGGGGTCGCCATAGCCTCCGGATTATCGCAATCATAATAGACCTCCGACATATGCAGCATGGCCAGCAGCGCCACTCGCTCTTGCCCCTGAGTCTCTGCCCCACACACCCCTCTCATCTCCGAATTTTATTTTCTGATTCACGGGTGCGGGCCACGGCTAGTTTGCTTGTTCACTAACCGCGACTGACTACCACTCGCGGGCTGACTGTATCTCACGGACTGACTACGATTTGTGGACCAAGTTGCGTACTGGAAGGCCTGCGTATTGGAAGGTTTACTTCAACCGTCGAGCACCTCAGTGGCTCACGGCATTCATCATCTGTCGGTCACGTACTCGAGCCGTCCGCCGCACCTTAGCACCCGACAGGAGTCGGCGCTCAGTCAGACCTTTTTCTCGAAAGCGCGGTCACGAATCTGGCCGTTGTCGTCCGTCAGTTTGCCGCCAATTATGTGTAACGCCTGAAGGGTGCTACGAAGCATACCAACGAGGGACGATCGTGACAGCCCGTTCCTTGCCCATAACGCGTGCTGTGCATTGCGTTTGTCTCCGCCAACCCTCTCATGAGCAGGCCACACCGACGGAGGTAGCGACCCGACTGATGGATTCGGCCCGACTGATGGATTCGGCTGGTCTGGTCTGGATTCAACGATTTCAAAAAAATCCACCGACCACCCATTTTTAACGATATTCTCCAACGCTTGGTAACCCAAGCACTTCAGCATTCACCGTAATCCATCATTCCGCACAGTCATTGATCATCCTGGCGCGCTTGGCTCCCCCAGACTCGCAATCACGACCAGATAGGCCAAGAGGGTGGGCAGGAACATAATCTGGCAGTTTGGTAATCATTTCATAAAAGGTCTTTTCCACTCGTAGTTGCTCTTCCGGCTTACGACCATGATCCACGGAAGTCATGAGACGGACAGTGTCGTTCAAGAGGCTTGTTAACAAAGCAACGACACTCTGTTGGAACCTCTCAAAGAGGCTTTCGAAGGTGAACGACGCACAATTTACACTCAGGGGTCGCCTAGTGCGTTGCCTTGTCCGTTGTAATAACCAGAAGTGACAGCCGTCCGCTGATACCGTAGCTGGCTCCAGACGTACCTGCTCCACCATTGCCTCCAATAACGGTCCTTCAGCAAGTCCCTCCCGACGGTTTTTCACTTGAATGAAAATCGCCGTCATTTGATCCGGTTCCACAATATTTGCGTGAGATGCCTTCAGAACCGGAATTACAAGGTCATAGCCAGGCTGATTAGATCTGATGGGG